TTCGTTATTGAACCTAAATTAAATTATAATAAAAAATAAGGAATTTAAAATAGTTAATTTGATACTAATATCGATATATTTTTGTCAAATTTGTATGATATCTTCAAATTTATACTTTATTCAAAAATAAAAACATTATCGCCTTTTCAAAATCACATAAGACCATATTATAACATCGACTGAGATAAAAAATAAAATAAAATATTAAAATCAAGATGTATCTCGTTGCATAGCGCGAGTACTCTTCTAGTATATATATGTGGGGGTCTTTGGTCCCTATAATTTAAAATATTATTTATTTTTCAAAGAAAAATGTAATAAAAAGTGAAAAAAGACCAAATTATCACTCACTTAACAAGTCCTTTAATGACCGTTACAAGCAAAGGCCGAATTCGAATGATTTTTCATACCACAATAGCCAATTTATAATTTTAAAACTACAGGGACCAAAAGTCTTATATCCACAAACCACATGGACCAAAGTTGTAGTTTACTCCTCAATAAATAAATCCAATAAAACGGTGGCGTGTGTTATCACGCTTTACAAACGCGCTTGGGCTAACCAATCGTCAAAACTAAATTATACATGTGTAGTAGAACTAATAAGACTCCAATTTTGGAACCAAATTACTATAAATAAAATCATCAATGACCCAAAATGCCGAACTGGAATCCTTTCTTTCTGCTGGTGGAAAAGTCTTCGATATTGGAGGAAAACAAGACCGATCGATTCCTCAATCAAGGTATTTCTTAGGGCTTTTAATTATAAAAGTTCGATGTTTTAGGTGTATAAATTTCATGTTTTTGATCATGATCGTTTAATTTTCTTCAGAAGTTCGATGATCTTATCTTAAATTATTGAATTTCCATCCAACTCAATCTATTACTTCGATTTCATGTTTTTGTATCTGCAGATAATTTGGAGACGCTGTTATAAATATCTACGGTTGAGACAATGGTCGTAGCTTCTGATCATGCCGACACCACCAAAATTTGCAGTCACTGGTAATAATAAGGGCTTTTTTTTTCTCTTTGTTAGTTTGTGTTAAGATTCTTTATTACGATTTTTTTAGTAATTGTGTGTGTATGTATTCAACTAGCATGGATATCGACAACGGTTTGTGGAGGAAATTAATCACAAATCAATCAAAATTGTTATAAACATTTAAGGGATTCTGTCACCCCCACCTCACCTTAGGGAGGGATATACCGAGCTGGTTTGGTTTGTCACACAATTAAAATTTAAACACATATGATAGATGAGTTGGAGAGAAAGAGTCATATACCCATTTATATGGACTTTGATTGAGTTGTTATACTGTGATGATAACTAACATCTTCGCACTGTGCTTGGGTGAGGTTTTGTTTGGTCATTACTCACTAGTCACATGGATGCCTCGAAAGCAATTCCTTGTTTATGTATATATGTACTGTCTTCTTGAGGTTTCAGATATCTATTTCATTTATGAAATTTTCATTTGGAATGATCATATGTTTCTAGTTGTCAGGGTTTGAGATTTATGAGCTTACTTGAAGGCTGTTTCTACAAGTTATAATTGAGGAACACTATTACCTTCATATGGACGGTATACACATTTGCATACAAGTAATTTGTAAGCAATTTGTCAGGTATGTATATGTGCATACATGCACACGTGCATAAAAACCAAGAAACAACTTCAATTACTTGTATGCACATGTGCATACAATCCAGATTAATGTTTATCAGGGTGTTCCAAGTTTTTTAAATTTTTAGGGGTTTTCGCCCGAACCTCCCTCTCTCTTTTTATATAGAGAGAGGTAAGTTCATACGAGAATGATACCTATTTAAGAAATAAGAGGATGGCTAATTACATACAAAATCACATGTGATTTTACATTAACAACAAAAAAAAATGTGTGCGACCCTATAGCTGCGTGGCAAGGTCACGTGAATGACATGTGATTTTGTACATGATGTTAGTGTAATGTACAAATACATGAATTACATAAACTAAAAGGTTTGAACTTGGAATTGAAAGCTCTAGATAATGAGAATATGAGATTACTTAGTAGTGGCTAGATGAATCTTGTAATTGCATTTTTTACTTAGTGTCGCTGATAAGTCCATTGGATAAAAAAATTTAAGTCATAAAGTGTTAGGGAAACAAAGAACCAAAGGGTGGTAGTTTGATTATTTTCCTGTATCCACAATAACGGAAAGATAACCATAGAATATGGTTCTCGGATTGAGTTAGGCATTAATTCTAGTAATGATGAAATTTCAATTAATTTTAATCCTTTTGTAACCTACTTTATTTTTCTCCCTATGTTAACTTAAACCCTCATTTGTTTTTGGATGGTCATCATTATCTCATTTGGCTGAGAACGATAACTTAGAATTGATTGTGTTACAATTTATCTTTTGAATTTTTATGCCATTTTATTTCTTTGTCTCTTGTTAATTTTTGTATGTCTTTGCTTTATGGATTTCTTTTGCCCATTACGGTATGCTCTCTCATGTTTCATGTTGTGTTGTACTTCTTGAGGTTGATTATTCTGTGTATGCTTAACAATGCTTACATTTGCAGTGACAGAGCTATTCCCTCTTCAAATATTGATCTGCACTATGCTCACTGTTCACGTAATTTAGAGAAGTGTAAAATCTGCGATGATATGGTACCTAGAAAACATGCAGAAGAACACTACTCAAGCACCCATGCTCCGGTATGTAGATCCAAGTGAAATTATAAATGATATTTGCTATCTGATTAAATATTTTGACAGTCAATCATAGCTAATATTTATTTTCATGTGCTCAATATGTGTTTGGTTTGCAAATTGCAATGCTTCAGAACATGGTCTAGTTTGTCTTGTATTCCATGGGGTGTTGGTTACTCATATTGGATTTATGGCATGTAGAGTTATCACTTAATTGTATATACTTCCACCATGCATCTTTAAGTAGAATCACTCACTCTCACTTATTAGTAAGTTTCATAGTAAGATCAGTTTGTAAGTGTGAATTGTTAGACGTCATGGTATTTGTCTAGCTAAGCTTACTTTGAGTGCTTCTTCATGTAATACAAATGAATGCTATACGTTTTTGAGTTGGCTAGATCTTCTCTCTGTTTTGTTTCTCATCAGACTTGAAACTTAACCTCAAGTTGTGTTTTGAATCATCAAATTGATGTTCCAGAATGCAAGTGTACCATGATTTTGAACACCTGGACGTATTTACATGTGGTTCTACAAATACTAGTGCTATAAATATCACATGTCCTCCTTGATGTAAACACAAGGGGTTCTACTCCTATTTGCATGCTTTTAGTCATTTAAGCCTTCAGCCAAGTTTAGGACCCAAAACTTTTAACTCAGAAAATCACATAGCGGTGTTGATTCATTTTCTCTAAAAAGTCAACTTTGGAGAAATATATAACAAATTTTGGTTCCCAAGGCTGTAGTTGGATTTCCTACTTGCGGAACATAGTTACCGAAGGTGACCTAAGCATTGTGTAGTTGGGCGTCAATTTAAGGGCTAGCCTTGCCTTTTGGAAGCAGTGGACATTAGGTCACAGGTTGATCAGTTTTATGACTTAGTCCCAAATTACAACTCAGATTAACAAGAAGATGCCAAAAGCTTAGATAGGTTAACAAAAACTGGAGCCAATGATTTTTTTTATTTCAACAATTTGATCATTTTGTGTAGAATGAAAAACCTGTTACCTTTCATGGAATGGGATGGGATGTGATTTTCAAAGTTAGTAGAAATGCGTAAGAGTATTGTTTCGAGAACATAAAGTGCAATGATGGGAACTAATATTTTAGGGACTATGTGTAGCCAATATAAACCGGAATGTAAATAAAGTTATCATGATCTATGGATAGATTGACTTTCTTATCATAATAAGTTGCATAGATCACACGATAGACTTCTTTGGTACCCAGAAGGTGAAGTCTAGAGTCTAGACAAATGATAGAACGAATGAGGTATTGTAGTGCACTAGCAAGACTACACAAAACATTCATATGTTCCTCATGTAGATTGTGCATGTGGAGACAAATTTATTGCACTGCATAGGAGATGTTCGGTCTAGTAAAAGTGAGGTATTGTAGTGCACCAGCAAGACTATGATAGTGGGACGGATCAACAAGTGGAGTCCCAAAAGTGGCATTGAGCTTGGCTTTGGTGTCAACAAGTGTCGCTGCAGGTCGACAGTTTGACATATGAGCCCTGTCTAGTATTTTTTCGGCATACTTCCGTTGAGACAAGAACAAACCACCTGCATGTTTAGTAATTGAAATACCAAGAACATAATTCAGAGTGCCCAAGTCAGTCATAGCAAATTCATTGCTTTGGGAAATGATAGAATGTCAAAGAAAATCAGATGAAGTATTGAGAATAATGTCATCCACATAGAGAAGTAAGTAGGCCATAGCATTGCCATGCTTATAAATAAACAATGAATGATCTGAGACACTGTGGTGGAAGCCAATAGTGGAGACAAAAGAGTCAAGTTGCTGATACCAAGCCCGAGGAGCTTGTTTAAGACCATATAGCGATTTCTTAAGAAGACACACATAGTCCGGATGAGCGGAATTACGAAACCCTAGTGGTTGATACATGTAGACGGTCTCCTCAAGATTGCCATGTAGAAAAGCATTTTTGACGTCAAGTTGATGCATTGACCAACCTTTGGAAAGAGAAATGTTCAAAACTGTCTGAATCGTAGGCTTCGCCACTGGGCTGAATGTCTCTTCACAATCAATGCCAACTTGTTGAGACCTGCCATCACAAACAATGATGGGTTTTGTGCCGCTCAAAGAAACCATCAGATTTTTCTTCGTGTTGAAATATCCACATGGAGAACATTAACATCAAGGGGTCGCGGCACCAACTCCCACGTCCTTGTTTTAATTAGAGCATCAAACTCATCGGCCATGGCCATCTTCCAGTTAGGGTCCTGAAGGGCGGCAACGGGTGAGCGAAGAAGAGGGGATTTCAAAATGGTATATGTGGATAGGTTAAAATTCTGCTTCGTTTAAAATGCCATGGGAACTCCTAGTGGCCATGGTTCTAGTGGGTGTGGTTGCAGAGGGGAAGGTGGAGGTGGATGGAAGTTGGCGGTGTGGACCACGGGCGGCGCAACACAGGTGACCACGTTGGAGGCTTGGATTTGATGTGGGTTTGGGCCATTTATGGTTGGGCTTGTGAGGGTGGTTTGGGATGGCGCCTGCTGTAAACTTGACTGAAAGAGCCAGCTACGTGTTGAGCTGTCGATTGGGTAGGTGTGGGTTGGATAGAAGGTGGCGGGGCTTCCGTGGGCTGGACAATAGATGTCGATTGGGCTGTTGCATGGAGCATGTGGTATCGAAGATAGGGAGAAAGCCCATCTTCAAGAAAGTCATAAGCAGACTTGTCTACTTTGTGCAATTTTTCAAAGGGGAAACTTGACTCATCAAATGTCACATGTCGAGAAATAATGATCTTTTGAGTCGACAAGTCTAAACACTTGTACCCCCTATGGTTAGAAGGGAAGTCGATAAAGACACAAGGCATTGACCTAGCTTGGAGTTTGTGAATGGAAGGGAAAGATAGATGAGGATAACACAGACACCTGAAGACTCGGAGGTGAGAGTATGATGAATCTCCTTGATACAAGATTTGAGTAGGGGAAGAAAAAGATAAGGCCTTGTTTGGGAGAATGTTGTGAAGATATGTAGCCATTTGTAAGGCATGATGCCAAAATGAGGGAGGGGAGAGAAGCACGAATTAAAAGGGTGCGGACCGTGTTATTGATGGTCCTAAGTTTGCACTCACCTTTGCCGTTTTGGGGATAAATGTAAGGACACGAAAAGCGAAATTGCATACCATTGAGTTTGCGTAGCTTTTGGAATGGTAAATTATCATATTCTTTACCATTATCACATTGAATATTCTTTATTTCTTTGTCGAATTGAGTGAATGAATGTGCGGAAGGCTAGAAAGGTGGAATATACTTGCAACTTACTTTTGAGTGGAGAGGTCCACAAAAAATTAGAAAAATCATCCAAAAACAAGACATAATAGCGATGCTTAAGTGAACTAAAAATAGGAGAAGTCCAAAGATCGGTATGCATGATATCAAATGGTTCAATAGTATTAGTAAGAGAAGAATAAAAAGGCAATTTAACATGTTTTTCAAGTTGACAAGCATGACAAAGCAAAGGACTACGAGACTTATTACAAGAAATAAGATTTTTATTCCTAAGAGTGCTAAAAATTGGATCTCCTGGGTGGCCTAGACGATCATGCCAAGTAGAGGAATTGATGGCTAAAAAAGTTGATGGTGATGTAGACGGAGGTATGGTGGAAGTTATGGATCAAATTCAACGGATACAGTATTGTCAATAGTGAATTTTCTGACAGAAATCAGGTTTTTGATAAGGTATGGTGTATGTAGGACATTGGTTAGGGAGAGGGGTGGGTGTGGTGGGAAAATGTAGGATTGACCATAACCAGAAATAGAAATAGTATGACCATTACCGACAATGATACTGTTATTTGAGCTCAAATTAAAATAGGACGAGAGAGTACCTTGATCGGACGCCATATGAGAAGTTGTTCCCGTGTCCATATACCAATTCTCATCTTGGGAATTAAGAGTCATAGTGTGAAGGGTCGCTGTCCGTAGGGGTATATCCCACTAAAGAAGCACTATAGAACGCTTGATGTGGGCGTGGGCCAAGCACGCCAGGGGCTGCAGTAGGTTATTGTGGCGCCTGTGGTCTTGTCCAATTGTTGGTGGGGTACGGACAAGGGGGTAGCCCAAGGCTGATGTGGCCACTGTTGGTTTTGTTGTTGTTGACGCGTCCTAAGAGGGTAAAACCATGGATGGGCATATGGTGTTTGTTGTTGACATTGTTGGTTCAGTTGATGTGCATCCCCACGTCCGCCACGACCCCTCCCTCGGCCACTGCTACCTCTATTACGGCCTCCACAACCTCGAACACCCCCACCACCATTACGGGTGTTGTTGGTCTGCTGAGAAGACCCTTGTCCAACAAAATAGGAGACGTCGGAGCCGCATTATTACGAGGGGAATTGGTAGTGGTAAGAAGGGCGGATTGTGAGGCATTCATAGTGGTGGCTTGTTAGACTTGACGATTCTCCTCCAAAGTCAGCATTGAATGGGCTTTATAAAAGGGTGGGAGAGGATCACTTTGTTGAATAATGGTCGCCACACCATTGTAGTCCTCTGTTAAACCTACAACAAGGCGAAGAACGAGAGAATCGTTCGACACCGAAGACCCAACATTAGATAATTGGTCATCAAGCATTTTTAGCCTTTGATAGTAGGCAGAGATGTTTGGAAGTCTTGAAGATGAGTGGTTGAAAACTGATTTTCCAAGTAAATGGCTCGGGAATTTTGTTATCTTGGAAAATGTCTTTGAGGCGATCCAAGATTGTTGAGCCATAGAGTCAAGTTCAAGAATGGTCTGGAGAAGGTTATGAGATATTGTACCGTAGATCCATTTGATGTAAACTGGTGTCGATTGATTGAAATTGAATTGAAATTATAGAGAAAGAAAATACTTCTATGGCTTTCGAGAGGCCCAGGTCTCTCCAAGAGCCTAAGCTCGATCTACAATTACTCAAAAAAAATGCATGCCTAACAGAAAGCACTCTCCTCAACAAATAAAGGATCCCGCTCCTTATTCCAAAAGAGAAAAACCCAAAATGCCCTTAGACAAGTATACCCACGAACTCCTAACAAGATAAAGGATTTCCCCTAATTAACCCTTTTCTTATACGTGAAACGTATAGGAGGTTTATCAATACCCCCCNTCCTAACAAGATAAAGGATTTCCCCTAATTAACCCTTCTCTTATACGTGAAACATATAGGAGGTTTACCAATACTTCCCCACCCCCCCCCCCAAAGTTCCTCGTCGAATGAAGTAGACGAAGAAGCCTTGGCTTTCTCCGTAGAAGGGATGATGTGGTCGATAACCTGATATGCACGGGCAGTGATTTTGAAGAGTTATGCCCAAGAAGAGTATTGGACGTTTTCCATGTCCAAAGTCACAGGAAGATGATTCTTTATGTTGAAGATTGCAAGAGCAGGGTGGAAAGGAGGAGTTTTTGGTGTGTTTGCCATTGAAGGAGGCTGTATCCGCAGAAAGTGGGAGGGCACGGCTAGGGTTCTTTTTTTTTAGAAAGAAAAAACCTATGCTTTGATTACCATGATAGAATCAATCTCTCTCCCCTCCATTTCATTAAGATAAATATATATACAAAGTGTATGAGAGATTCATATTAGGAAACTATCAAAAAGATACTGGGAAATATTTACACAATCCTAGAAAATATTTACATACTCTAATAACAAATAACTAAGATTATGACCAAATTGTCCTGCAAAGGATACATGTGAAACTCTTTGAATTTTTTTTCCCTCAATGGGAGATACAAAGAATGTTGGAATCTTTAAATTTGAAGTTATGCATGAATGTAATGCTCATAGTTTTTTTTTTTTTTTGTGAACATGAGCTAATTCTTTTCTTTAATATAGCTGAATGTCCCACAAAAAGACCTATCTGCAGCACTTAGGCTATATCTTTGGACGAATTGCCAACTATGGACCCATTCTTTCATTCTTCTAGTGGCTTATGACTCTTTGTGCGATAGCATGGATATTTGGGTTCGGAGGTGTCGAGCTGTTTTTTATAGACTTCATTCCTCATGATCCTAGCAGATCATCTCTTATGTCTTTTCCCTGCCTCAAGGAACCTTAGAATAGATTGGAGGGTGGTAAAGGTTGCAAATAGTATGTTGATTCAAGTCTTGAGCGAAGGGCACCACAAGAAGGTTCTAACTGTGAAACCTACCAAGGACCCTAAGTACTGTTGAAAACATAGTCAGTTAAGATTATACTGAAAACACCAATAAATAGAAGCCTTATTTGTGGAACCCTCAGACTTAGAAGTGTATTTGACCTAAGCTTGGTCTTGCTTATATCATGAAAAATATGTAGGCTTAGGTTTGGATCTTGGCTTGCGATGCCTAAAAAGCTCAGGCTCAAGCTTGCATAGTTGTGATGATGTCTTGTATATGATCCTGTCAGCTCTGGTATTTGGTTAGCTCATATAGATATGGTTCTTATTGGGTTCTATAGGCTCTTGTAAGTAGTAACTTTGGCTGGGTTGATATGGACTTCTATAGAATTACAATATAAGCTCACCATTCACACTTGATGAATTGCCAGACCCTTGCTATAACAGGCTCAAACATGGGTTTGATAATCAAATGAGTAGCCTCAGTTAGCAGGCTATCCAAGCATTTTACTGATAATCAAATGAGCAGCCTAAGTTAGACTCGGGTTCTCCAAGCATTTGGCCGAATTAGCTTGTGTCATCACTTTTCCTTCTTTGTGTATGTTGTGCCGTTATAGCTAGTTGTCTTACATATCTTCATGTTTTGTGTTCAGAGGACTTTAGATGGTTTTTTTACTGTAGAAAAACTAGCAGATTCTATATGATAGTTTTTTGTAATTTTTAAAGAACTAGTTTTACTGGATTCCTAGTCATGAATTCATCATGTAGCAGCTTTAACAAACAACACTGTCCGTGGAACAGGTATCTTGTTCATTGTGCAATGAGATGATGGAACGTGAAATCCTAGCCGTGCACAAAGGTGAAAAGTGTCCCAAAAGAATTGTGACATGTGAATACTGCGAGTTTCCGTTGCCTGCCATCGACCTATTTGAGCATCAGGTAAACCTCCAACTGCTTCCCACCATTTGAAGCCTTCCAAATGCCTCATCGTCTAAGATATGCAATGTGCTAAAATTTCAGGAAGTCTGCGGCAATAGGACAGAGCTATGTCATATTTGTAACAGATATATTAGACTCCGAGAGAGAGTTGCCCATGATGTCACATGCAATGGTGTTCCAAATAATACGGCTGAAATTCCCAGGTTTGAAAAACAATTCCATTCTTTTTTTTTCCTTCTTTTTTTAGATTTCAGGTTTATTTCTTGACAATTTGCTGGAATACCCCTTAAATTTTTGATGATGCTCTTTTTTTTTGTAAGGGTGTCCGGGCCAAAGCCCGACTAATCCTCGGCAATTTTGGAGGCTAAGCATGGCCCCACTTAAATGTCGCCAACACTCCCCTCCCAGGGTTCGAACTCGGGTTCATGACTATGCCATGCCCAAGCCTTTACCACTAGGCTAGAAGGTCTTTGACTTGATGATGCTCTTATGGGTAAAAGAAAAAGTATTTTTAAATTTCAAACCATCTTAAGTTGGTTGCAAATACACTATTGTTCTTACAAAAAATGCTTTTTTGAAACAATTAACAATTTTAGACGGTAAATATGAAGTATGATCGGTTGCTTTTGCATTTATATTTTCTCAATTGATATGTGATCACTCATCCTTGTAAGGTGTACTTTTTCTTTTGCATTTTCCCAATACTGATTATTTGTTTGCAACCAAACGACAAGTACAAATGTACGATGGGTTGAAAAGTTAGCAATTCAAGAAAATAAACGTTGAGCAAAGACTCAAGGATTGTGGGTTTGAGTAACAGAAGCTATCGTTTTGCAATATGTAAGGGAAAGACTATGCAAAGTTTACCTTCACTGACTTTGCAAATTTGAGGAGTTCGTACTAGGGTTTCCCTTTTCTTATAATGTGGAAAGAGCAAATGAACGTCTTTCATTGTCTGGTTGACCTTAACTAACTTTGAATGCTTCAACTAGCCCTTATATGCCTCATTGTTCGATTTCTCTTGATTATCGTACTTGACCTTCTTTCCTGATCTACATGACATCATGCTTGATGTGTCCTTAATTTTTGCGAGGTTTATATTTTCCTTGACAATCAAATGCCTGCATGGGTGGCTCACCAATTGAGTTGATTCTCCATTCGAAATGAGAATCCATTTTATATTTTCATAATTCAACCTAGTATTTTCCTAATTAAAAATTGACATTTGCATCTTCAACTCTTTGTTTTGAGAAAGGAAACATCGTTAACATACAGTATTTGGTCGGCTAGTTGTCCAAATTGGGAAGGAAGGCATGCACTTCTGATGTTAGGACCACTCAAAATGCATGTTTTTGTTATCATGTGTAGCTTAACACCTAAGGCTTAATAATAAATAAAAAGCTATGTAATCCTTGTATAAATGATTCTCATGCTTGGTTAGTATGTGAAAATGGAAATAAGGGATCAAAAGATTTCTTCCCATTACACTTCTCTTGATTCTTCGAAAAATGGAGGGAAACAAAAGGGAACTCTGAAAATGAAAAGAAAGCAATTCTTGCTAAGAAACGTGCAAAAAGAAGAAAAAAAAAGCCTAGGTTCACATTCCACCATGAAATTTTGTAGGTCAATTCTCTATTCTTATTAACAATCAGAAATGAATTAATTTCTCTTGGTCCATTTCTATTCTTTTCACTTCCATTCTCGTTACAGTTCCATTCTCACTGTCCACCTTAACATACATCCCCTATGGGATTGAACAAATCATTAGGTAGGCAGAAAATTATTTTTAATAATGTCATTAACTTTAACTTTCTCTTGGGTTTTGGGAGGATCAAATTACTTTAGGAGATGGCCAATTCTTTTTCTTTGTTGCGATTTGGTTTGTGTAAGTTAATTTGATGAAAAGTAAGAAAGTCAAGGAATTAGAGAACTTGAAGAAGAAGATTAGTAAGGTTAAATTTATGTTGGTGGAACAATTATCCAGCAATGGAGAAGTTTAAGGCATGTTTTGCCTGTATGAAGTGACTACTGTGTAGTGTATTAGAGGCCAACATTTGAGCAAAAGGGGCGGCAATAACTGTGATTGTCATAGGCAAAAAAACAAAAGAAAGAGAGAATAAGAGGGCATTAGTGACAAAGGGGTCATAATAGTGGATGAAGAAATTGAGACAAGACTACCTAATGGTAAAAATAGTAGAGGTGCCATGGGTGAAAGGGTAGAGAACAAGAGAATCGTGAGATGTGGTCAAAGATGGACACAACAGAGGGGGTGAATGGCGGCAACAAGGGTCAGCTCTAGCAATAGTCAAAGGGGAGCAACAGTGGTTGCTTATAGTTCAGCAAGGAAATGGTATTAGAGGTGTGGATGCCTAAGGTGTTGATACTAGTGGGTGTCGGTAACCTTCTTAGCGAGTTTTACATGTTCTGATAATAAATCCTCTACTTGTAGGGATTAAATTAGTATTTGAAGTATTCTTCCTCTAGTTCTCTTACACTATTCTCATTTCTTTTAAATATATAATATTTATATATGGTAAATGGAACTCACACACATGCCTCATCTTTGGCGAGATTGGAACCCTTGACCTCTGGAAAGGTTACCAGATAGGGATACCGCTTCGCTAAAGGCCCTTGTATCATTGTTCTCAAGTATTGCATTGAATAAAGTAAATTTTTGGGTCAGCTTCCAAATAGTTCTGAGTATTCTGTTTTAGGGTTCAAGGTTCCAACAAGTGGTATTAGAGCTCCCTCACGGGGCTTTATCTAAGTGAGAGAAAATAGCAAATTTCTTAGAGAAAGAAAGAACCAGAATAAGAATGCCATCAAGTTCGGAAGGAGGCTCTATACAACCTGCCATACCCAAATTTGACGGCCACTATGATCATCAGGTCCGCTGATGGAAAACTTCTTGAGGTCAAAGAAATATTGGCCATTGATTAAGGATGGAATCATAGTAGGATAGGATGAAGCAACCTAAATTGATGATCGTAAGCTCAAGGACCTCAAAGTGAAGAACTATTTCATACGATCCATCGTAGATAGTTCCGTTGATATGCCCTAGCTTTAAGGGGTTGGTAATAAAATGAGAGGACTCAGTTTCAAATCGCCTACATATTGCTGCTAGGGAGAATGCTATTTTTCTTCCCCATGATGACCGTGGGATCGGAGCGGCGAAGGCGCTTCAGAAGGTGGCGCATGCCCTTTCTTGTTGTGCGATAGTGGAGGCAATTGTCAACCGAAAAGAGACCAAAAATATTTGGGACATCATGCAATATAAGTTTCAAGGATCAACTCAAGTCAAGCTGACACAACTTCAAGCATTCAGGAAAGAGTTAGAAGTTTTGCAGATTAAGGATGGGAGAAGGTGAATTAGTACTTCTCGAGGACACTTGGAATTGCCAATATGATGAAGTCACATCAGGAAAAGATGAAACTAATTGTGATCATGGATAAAAAACTGATGTCAGACATCAAAATTCGTTTATGTTGTGTGTTATATTGAGGAATGCAACAACTTGGATACTTTGATAATTGATGAGTTACATAGTAGCTCGATAGTGCACAAACAAAGAATGAATAGACATGTGCATGAAGAGCTAGCTTTGAAAGTCAGTCATAAGAAGAGATTCAATACAAGAGGCATAGGATGAGCATGTTTCGAGGAGGTGCGATTTCTCGATTCCAGTTGCAGCAATCATATGAAAGAGGCATGTAGTGGTTTTTTGAATTGACAAAACACTCCGACAACTTGTGAAGCTGGGTAACAATGCAAAGGTGTCGATAGCAAAAAGGAAGCATCAAAATATGCATTCATGGAGCTACTTGGATGATTACTAACATATCTTATATTCTAAACTCAATAGCAACTTTCTTAGTATTGAGCAACTTCAAGAGAAGAATGCAGCTAATTTTGATTCAACATGGAGTTTGATGTGAAAAGTTTTGTTATGCAGACTTTTATGTCTACCAATAGAATGTTCATCTTCCTGGCTTATGTGCCAATTCATGCTTCAAGTCAGAATTCAAACCACCTCTGAGTTCATGACTCAATTATGGCATAGGAAGTTCGGACACCTGACTCTTAAAGGGCATAGTGTTTGTAAAGGGCATCCTTTTAGATATTTGGTGTGGTTAAGTTGGTGCATTGTGGCTCTAAAGGTCGGTTATCAAACATTATGACCAAGTCCTTGAAGTTATAAAGCCTTGGTTTATTTCATTGAATAAGGTAAGCCTTTGGCTCAGTTCTCAAATAGTTTCATGCATTCTGTTCTATAAGTTCAAACATCTAACATAAGGCTGCATAGGGGTGCCATCAGCAATCATAATCGATATGGATGAATGAGAAGACAATGAAACAAAAGATGACAATTGAGGAACATGATGAGAAGCATGTGAATCCAAGATCCATAATATATATGAGGTACAGAACGAGGACAAACTTTTATGAGATGGGGCCGACATAGCATGTGATTGTGAAGCGGGAACTGTTGAAACTGCTCAAACATAAATGGATCGAAAAAGGGCGCCCATGGAACAAGCAACGATGAGCATAGTTGTTGTGATGGTCATAGATGTTGCTATTGTTTGCCTTTATTCTACAACGAAAGGACATTGACGCTTCATGTGTCCCTTTTGTTTGCAGAAAGCACATTCATTCCAAGAGACCTTAGATGTCAGCCTAGCTTGGTAGCTACGTGGTGACTGTTGTAGGATTGCAAAAACAATTGGAGTAGTAATTGTGGCCGTTTCCTTGTTTGATTTGAGAGTTTGAGGAGGATCTTTGACCAGTGAATCAATTGATGGAAGCGGAGTATGATATAGGATTGTCCCACGCAATCCCTCAAAATCTTGATGAAGAACCATTAGAAACTGCACCAGACGTTCTTCCCTCGAGCAATGTAGGATATAAATGAGCCCAATGCTTCAGATTCTGTTAATATAACTGATCCCATAATGTAGACAAGACGGTAGATTTTTTTTCGAATACCCATCATTTTATGGAAGTGCAAAATCATGCAAACCGAAATCAACAAAAAAACTGAAACAAGAAAATCTGACACGATAATTTGGTGATGATTTTTTAGAGTCTTGTAAATTTGATCAATATCATATTTGTTCTTTGTGTAACTTTGCACAATCACCTTCAAGTAGGTGAAAATAAATCTAAAATTATGATAACAGATCATTAATACAAGCAACAATTAACACAAAGGCATACAATTGATTTGTCATCTTTCTAGGTGGAATTTGAAACCTTGAGAAAATGTTCCAATTTTTCTGTATTAAATGTTGGATTATGTGGTTTATGAGTAACGAAATCTTAATCTAACGCTCACAACTGATGTTTTTGAAGGGCAATGCGGGAAGATGAAAGAGAGCATCCGGCTAGAAGGCCGCCGCCACCACCGCCACAAGACATCTCTACAAGGCGGCTTATATTCACCATAGCCATAACCGGCATTGCCATTCTCATTGGCTACTATATTTCCAGAGAAAACCAGACATCAGTCAACTGAACTAGAAAGGTCAAAGGTCAATCTGGAGATCTTAACAAGTCTCATGTGTCAAATTGTTTAAATATATACATATATATTTAATATATATGCATTTGATTCTGTATTGTATCATCCCAAACATTACTGGTGATCCTTTTGTTCTATTCAGTATATATAAAGATTTGATGGAAAACATTGCATCCTCTTGAAGACTTGTTACCATTTTGAATCTTGTAGTACTCTAAGGGACTATTTACCAAACGTCAACCGGGTTACCGCTTACCGGAATCTTACCCAGTAAGTGAGGGAAAAAACTTCGCTTACCAACAATTTATTTTGATGGTTGAGAAGGCAAGCAAGAGTGATGACTTTTATCAGTAAACGTTTATGGGGTAAGAGTTCGGTAACAACCTCTAACTGAGAATGGTGATTCAAATTTTCTTAGCCATTATGTTCGTTGTTTGTAGTAATGTGGCATCCTTTTGATCTAATGAGTAAGGACGTTTGGGCAAAATATTTCGAATAGTAAGGGTTTGAAATCTCAAGCCGTCTCACACTATCATACCTTATGTGAGAGGCAAATCAGGTACATAATGATCTCATAGGTGGTTGGCTTAAGATTCAAGTACCTGAAAGGAGTTTAATCCCCAAAAGTATCATAATTTTTACATTATGATTCTCAGACTTATTCCTTTCTTTGTGCATGTATATCATCCAGGGAATCAAGTGTGCTACGTTTTAGAAACACATGCCAAAGGTTTATTGATTCAAAATAATCAGTATGACTGATGGATGGTTACTAGTTTTGATCAAGCATTAGGTATCACTGATGGTTGTGTCAAGTGATAAATACGGAAATTTGTATTTTTTGTGTCAGGAAAGAGTCGGGATTCGGGGTTATTTTAATATAAATACAATCCTTTCATCCATCTTTGTATCTTGAATTTTAGAGGAAAAACTATAGAAATACGTGAGGATTATCGGTGCATTTGGTTTGACGGAATGTTTTGTGGGATTTGGATTTCATGTAAGGATTTGGATCGGGAGGATATGAAATCTTTGCTGTTATTGACTTGTAGGAAAACAAATGTTCATTAACATGTTTTAAAACATTATTACAACCAATCCTGCGAAATATCAACTACCCTTGTGTGATTCCTAAATCCCATGTTTGTGGCATTTCAATTCCGGGTATTTCTTTTGACCAAACTCGTGGTTGAAGTGGAATCCAATTCCAAAATCCCATCAAATCCTGCAAACCAAACGAACCTCGAGAGTTTTGAATTGCAAATTGAAATTTCAGTTTATAATCCTCTTTTGGTTTTGCTTTCTCTTCGGTGAATAAAATATCTCCCTTTCATGTCTTGAAGTACACTATCAATATAGTGCTGACCAGATTTCTCACTTGACGAGATGTTGCTCGATATCTTACAGTGAAGTCTTAAGGAACATGAAATTGGTCAACACTCTGCAGCATTTAGCAGTTCTTTTAATGAAAATTTTTAAAAGTTGTTTTGAATTAGGTGTATGAAATTCATTTTATATTAATTCTATTACATTTGACAGTTTCAATATATTTTGATAATTGACAAACAAAAACTTGGAATGTTTTATGATACAACTATTTCATTGTTTCTGCGAGATATTTGTTATAATTACATAAAAAAACAAAATTTCACAAAAAAATACAATGAAATAATCATATCATAAAACATTTCAAGTTTTTGTTTGTCAATAATTTGAACACATTGAAAACGTCAAATTTAACATAATTAATATGAAATGAATTTCACACATTTAATTTAACACCACTTTCAAAATTTCTGATTAAGAGAACTGCTAACTGTTGTTGAGTGTTCAATTTGATGTTTCCTAAAACATCAATAACAGTAAACTGCTTTAAATCTGGTTTTTTGAAAATGAGAAATTTTGAAGAACGTTTTCTCAAAATAAAATTTTAAAAGTTGGTATTCCAAGATAAGAACGAATACGAAGTTTGTTTTATCTTAATACAATTTACCCAATTAGAAATATATTTATTGTGAGTATGTAGAATCCCCATATTTATTTCCAAAAAAGTCCTTGACGAAAATTGTAAAGGAATTGCCAAGGTAGAATTATATTACAAATAAGCTTAATATAAAAGGTTAGGTAGTAAATATTGTGTGTGTGTGTGTGTGTATATATATATATATATATCTCGGGGCTGGTTCAAATACTAACCAAGATTATCGTGTTAACTTTGTTAACCGATCTTGGTCGTTGATTTGAACATCCAACGGTTGTCATTTATTGAGATTAAAAATTTAATTATTTAATTACCATATTAATAAAAAAATTAGGTTCACACTGGTTCAGAGGGTAGAATTGTAAAAAGTGAATGATCTTAACGTATCCTATTTTGTCAGCCTATTCTGTAACTTTCAATCAATAAAGAAACYGTCAATCTCATCGATCAATATCTTAAATCAGTAGCTAAAAATTAGGTTCATTATCTTCATCAAAACAATGGAGGATTTGGAAGGATTACCAGGCGACGACATACAGATAAGATTGAAACATGTGTGTGAACCTAATGAACAATTGAAAATTTAGGTTCATAATCTTCATCAAAACAATGTGTGAACCTAATGAACAATATGTGAACCTAATGAACAATTGAAAAATTAGGTTCATAATCTTCATCAAAACAATGTGTGAACCTAATGAACAATTGAAACATGTGTATAAACCAAATGGACATATTGTGTGAACCAATTGAACACACATGTGCACGAGTGAACACATATGTCGACGTTTGAGTGAACATGTGCGTGAACGGTTTGATCATTTTCTTCACTTTCGGAATTCGAATTCCGAATGTATTCGTAGACGCTTTTAGCTTTTTCATTCTCATTGTCGTCAATCTGTTTTATTCTATGATTATCCATATTACTCGGACTATAACGGAATCTTTACAAAAGGAACTTTTTTGAAATTTACAATATCAAAACCATTGTAGGAATAATGAAATGTAAAAATCAGTAAGATGAACAAATGTGAAACTTCATGTCATTATTACATGAAGATCAATTAGTGATATTTTAAGATTTGTAACTCCCAATTAAAATATTGGGGAGTTACATAAAAATGACAAATTATCTAAATACCCTTACGCTTAATATGTGAGTTACATTTGAACCCAACAAAAAGATGAAACATGATTGGTTGATGTTGGTTAGCATAGTTAACACAAAAAAAGGGTTAGTATTTGAACTAACTTCTCTCTCTCTCTTTCTCTCTCTCTCTATATATATATATATATGAAATTGTTATTTTTTTAAATCAGATTTTCTTTCCCTCTCTAACTCTCTCGATCTCTCCTACCTCTCTCTAGAAAACCAAATCTCATCTCTAGACTTAAATCTTAAATCTTTGATTTTTTTGAAGAACTGATGTTATAAATTGGAACTAGGAGGTCAAGAAAAAATATGTCTATAATTAATTCTTGTGATTCCTGCTACTTTAGGGCAAATGGATTAAACTCTAAGGGGGCGTTTGGTTCACAGATTCTGAGGGTATCTAATGGAATTGAAATGTTGGATTTCATTGACCAAATTTCATTCCCTTGTTTGGTTCATTCTTTTTCACGAAAGAAATCTTCAAAATCCTATAAATTTCACAAATAAAGAAATTTAACATTCCTTAGCAACTACATAGTATTTTAATGGAATGGAATTCTCTGTTTTCATAATACCAAATATGCTCTTAATCTAATACTAGTTGTGTGCCCGCACAATGCAGCGATATGTCAAATTTTATTATGAATAGAGAAATTGACACCTCAAACATACTCAGTGTATCTCACTCAAAATCAAGATCCAAGTGAATAAGATGTATACATACATTCATATACCCCTGTGACGTAAAGGCTATACGCACCTAATGTGGGACTTAACTTCAGGCCATTTACCCAAACGCTTACCTGATAGTTGTTTACCAGTAAGATTCGTCACTCAAACTTACTTTTGCAGGTTATAAAATTCCGTCAAATTCATTCAAATTGAAATTTAGAACGCCTAAGATGTTAGTCTACTTGTGCAACTGCAACCATTTGTAAAAAAACAAATTGTTTGTGAATACTTGTAAAAACAAACACATTTGTTTACCAAACGCTTATCGGGTAAACATTTATCAACATAAAACATCACAAATTGTTATATCCTTAAAATCAATGAATTGATAACTGACCACCTTAAAAAATGTTTGGGATTGTTTTAATATATACCAATTGTTAAGGAGGACAAAATACTATGAAATTCAGCATCGTCAATTTCTACAGAGTACAGGCTCATGAAAGAATTCGTTTCTAATAAGTCAAATATGCATGAATTAAAACAATATATACTACAACCAACCTATTAAAGCTAAGCATTTCACAGGAATGAAATCCACAATTGATCAAAAAGACATCATAGGATAGAGACAAAAACACATAGCCCCCAACATTCAATCCAACTATGGTACAACAAAACAAGACTGACCACAACTATCTAAATCTGATTCTCTAACATTTAAATCCAGCAAACAACATAATGCACCACAAGCACCATATCTGATCGGAAACTGCACCAGACAAATGATTCACCCAACCAATAACCATCTTACAACTCCACAGCTTATGAAAAAGAATTCAAATTGCTCCCCAAGTAAAATCAAGTAGAATCTGAACAGGAACAAACCATAAATGAGTTTGGGAACTAATAAAAAGCAAAAGTAACTATATTTTTTAACAGTAAGGGGTTGTTTACCAGATGCTTACCCGGTAAGTACTTACCGTTAAGAGTCAACATTTTCCCTCAATTACCGCGTAAGATTATCGATCATTGCATTACTTCTAACCAGGTAAGATTCTTAGTCCTAGGCATATCCAATAAGCATTTAGTAAACAACCATAGTGTCTATCATAAACTTGAAACTTATTCAAAAACTGTGGTTAGACAAGTAGAAATCACATTACACACAACCAGTTATTAAAGCAAATCATGTGGTTCATGGAGCCGTTTACTAATCACTTACCTGGTACATGCTTACCGGGTCACTTTACCTGATCGGATGAACATGACAAGGATTGAAAAACTTTGGTAAGAGTGATGAGAAGGATCAAGAGTCTTACCCATAAGTAAGGGGCCGTTTACCAGATGCTTACCGGATA